ATGTGGCATATACCATCTATGTTATCAGTACAATTAAAATAACAAACTTAAAAATACATTTTGTTCAAACAGGTTGATAGGACCTGTGTTAAAATGGTTTAAAAATGATTAAATGTAATGACGTTTACATTTAGAACTGTACAATATACAGTCACCAAAACGTATTGTATTTTTACAATTTAACCAAATTTACCAACGAAAAGTACAGTGAAGATAAATACCTTTTTTTGGCTTATATTTATTCTAACTCACACGCAGCCCACACTAATCTATCCACCCACGGGTACTGCGCGCCGCACAGCGACACGACATCGTACAACTACAGCACAGCTGCCTGCAGGTGTCGTTACATTTACTGCAGCAGTTCTCGCCCGACTTGTACTCGCTTTTTTGAGACAGAACTACACTCATTTATGCAATCGGGGCTAGTTGTCACACGTTCACACCAATTTAATACTAACCTTAATCGGAAAGTAAACAATAAGATTTAGTAAACAATACTCTCTTTTTCTTTCTCTGACTAGGAACCATTAGGCAATGTGTGTGAGCCAGAGGAAAGAGTCTCAGGGGAATAGAGGATTTGTCAGAGAGGTGTGTGATTGTGTTTGCGTGAAGCAGTTCTCAGGTAAGTAATACACACAACACACACAGGCCTTGTTACATGACACACTGCCTGTAGTCTACCCTAATCCACTTTACCCATGGCATAGTGTTAGGGACACATTTACACTGATGGAATTGTTTCATGTTGAATCGTCTTTCACAGTAAGAGACTGAAAAAAATAGATGTTACATTTGTAAAAATCCCATTTCCAAAGTTGCAAAGCCACGGTTTTCACAAAATCCCTGTGTGCTCGTCTGCAGGGTCTTTCCTCTAAGAGTTCCCTCAACAGTCAACAACGTCGAAAGTTGCCTACTTTAAGCGAAAATATGCGGAAGAGGAGGATGTTCAGGGAAGCCTACATGGATATTTACAAAAAGTGAGTGTCATTTAAAATGTGCTTAAATGCAACACAGTATAATTAAAGTGAAATTCTCAGAAATGTCATTTTTAAAGCAAACTTTATTAAGGAAAACTTCAAATCTTGGCTTTACAGAGCCATGTTTGAAAGTTTTGAAAAAAGTTTGGAAGTTTCTAGACAGACAGACAGATAGATAGATAGATGTCTTTCTGATCTTATGTGTGTCATGTCACCCTCTTTGATTCAGGCAGTTGTCCATTTCATGTAAACATCCTGTTCACGTCTGCTCCTGTCTGTCTCATGTCTTCACACCTGACATCTTCCAACTGTCTCTCCTCACCTGTCTGTCTCTCCTCAGCACCTGATCCTGCGTGAGGAGCGCAGCTGCATCCTGCGCCTGTCTCTGCAGAAGCTGCGTTTCCTAGACGACCCTGAGGCTTACCTCCGCCGCTCCGTGCTCATCAACAACCTGCTACGCAAGATCCACCTGGACGAAGCCCAGAGGGAGAAAGAGAAACAGAGAGATGGCAAGGAAGAGGAAGAGGAGATGGAGTGGAGGCGGAAGAGACTGAAGGTGGTGCTCAAGGAGTTCCAGCAGTATAAGCTGCTGCCGTATTCATCCTCCCCAGCCTCATGCATCTGTGGCCTGGGCAGCTGCCACATCCTGCCTCCTGATCATGGAGCTTCAGTGTTATTCTACCATTTGGATGATAAAGGATAAGATGTCATCGCGCACATGCAGGGGATTTTTCCTACTGTCCTACGACTGATTTCCAGGAGCCAGCATTAAGGAATAAGGGGATTCGGGTTTGTGTGCATTTGTGCTTGTGCTGGTGAGCGTGAGCTCTGCAGTTTGTGATGTGACAGGTGCTGTCCATATCAGGGTGTGTTTTTCCAACATCATCCTGTTATCACTGCCTCGCTCTGTTGATATGAACTTTGACCACAGACATTTTGTTTTCATGAATTTACTTGAGTGAGCTATAATCTTAAGCATTGTTTTCAGGGATAAAAAAGGCAAACAAAAAGCCATGCACCTTGTGGTTGTTATTTTATGTTGTAAGAAAAAAAAAAAAGAGACAAAAATTAAAATTTTAAGTGTCAAAGTCCCAGCTGCTCTTAAGGATAGAGTGATTTTACTAAAGCTTTGTCGCTGTGAAATTGACTTTTTTGTGTAAATGGCTACTGATGTCGAACTAGTAATGATTTTTTTAAGACGTTTCCATAAATAAATAAAACAAAATAGGAAAATGTATGAGGGCAAATGAGCAGTGAAAATAATATTTATTTCAAGGCCTTCCGTTTTGTTTTGTTTTGTTTAAACAGGGTCTCGCTCTCTGCAAAAAAGGTACAAATCTGCCACCATATCACGCAGTCCCTTTCAAAATGTAATATGTTATTTTAAGGTACTTTTTAAGTACTAATATGCACATTTAAGATACTAATATGTACCAGCCCAATGACAGTTTTGTACCTTTTTTTCTGAGAGTGTAGTGACATGCAGCTTTCACATTGTAAAAAACTATTTACTGCATTTGCTACTTGTGTTTCATTGCATACAACCTTTTAAGGCTTTTGGCAGAAACTGTTATGTTAAGGTTACTCTGCCATCTAGTGTTATGGCGATGAATTATCAGCTACATAGACCTCTTTGGTTCATTCATTCAATCAACTGTACTACCTACAGGTTATAATGCTGTTTTACACTCATTTGTCCTTTGTAACAAATTTAGGTTGTCTGTCCAGTATATGGAGTTTCCAATGCCTCCTTTCTCACACACACACACACTGGGATTTTCTAAATTTCTGTCTCTGTAATCTTTGGATCTGAAAACCCTAGCTATGTGGGTGTCAGAATATCTCATAACAATGGCCTACATTCACTGCACAGACCCATGGTTTATAACTAACGGGGAAAACAAGGTATACATGCTCAATGTAGTGTAAAATCCACCATTCTCTCTTACACAGAACCTCAGACGATCCTGTTCTTGTCTCATATTGCTGTCTCACATATTTTGGTTACATAAAGTTTTCTAACAGGCAAAGTTGTGCAAAAATATTTTGGTACTGTTAATAATGACTGGTACTCTTACTATTAATATTTTGTGTTTGTTTATGCACATTTGTATGTGTATTGTAATTTTTTCAATATCTGAATGTAATTGACTGAAATCTCAATTCAGAGTGCTATCTTTTGGACATTTCAAAGCATAGACATGGGTATCCAGTTTATTTTGAAATGGAGTTTATTTTTTGTTTCAAAGAGAACACTATTGCTCAGGAGAATTTAGTGCTATTTTGCCAAAAGATTTAAAAGTAGCATACGAGAATTGTCTATTTTCATGGCACTGCTAGTCAAATAAAATATAATATTGAATGTTTCACTAAGCCCTTTCTCTTTATCGGTGTAAATAAATATATGCACATAAAAACAATATCTGAATGTAATTGACTGAAATCTCAATTCAGAGTGCTATCTTTTGGACATTTCAAAGCATAGACATGGGTATCCAGTTTATTTTGAAATGGAGTTTATTTTTTGTTTCAAAGAGAACACTATTGCTTCAGAGAATGTAGTGCTATTTTGCCAAAAGATTTAAAAGTAGCATACGAGAATTGTCTATTTTCATGGCACTGCAGTCAAATAAAATATAATATTGAATGTTTCACTAAGCCCTTTCTCTTTGTCGGTGTAAATAAATATATGCACATAAAAAATGTATCAGTATTGGCCTTTTCCTCCAGCATGTGCGGCCGCTCCCGAGTCCGTAAAGTGATGGCGCAAGGCCGGGCATCCACTGTACCATTTTCGTCCGATTTTGAGCCGAATTCTGATTTTTTTTTTTTTTTTTGAGTCGGGCCGAATTTCAGCTTTTATAGTGCGTCTTTTGATGAGCAGTGTACAGGGGGTAACGAGAGGTGATTAGCCTCTCCCGAGCGGCACTCGGATGGTCGGATGAATTTCTGACATGTCAGAAAATTTGGTTGCCCCTCATGAAACTCCGTGATTTTTCTTCACTTCCGCCTGCGTGAAAACACAGAAATGAAACCATGGCGACATGGCGTATGGTTTGGACAGAAGCGATGGAAACTACACAGTTCCGGGTTCGGGAGGGTCTCACGTCGTATAGTGTGCTGTGAGCACACATAAATCCTGAGTTTTGGCTTGACATCGCATGCGATTACCTCGTACAGTGAGAGTTGATATTTCACAAAAACGTTGCTGAAATCGCACAGTGTATGCACGGCCTAACCCCCGCACCGTTGGGCGGTAAATATTGCTAAACGTTTTAAACGTTTATTTGACAAAAGTGGTCTTACTCCAGGGGGTGCTTTGCGGCACTAGAATCCATTGAGCTGTATTTAAATATCAAAACGTTTTTACTCTTAACCTCTTAAAACCCGAGAAAAGATTTTAGGGAAAAAAAATTAGTTTTTTTCATGTCTTTACATTGTTTTTAGAGCATAAAAAAATGTAAAAAATGATATTTCGTTCATAAGTTATGCTATGTCCTCGGTAGAGGACATCGGGACTCAATTAAAAAAATAAAAATAAAAAGACATGAATGAACATGCATAGGCAAAAACAATAGATTTGTAAAAATAACCAATACATTTTTAGTTTTCAGGATTTTTTTTTTGTTTTTTTACCAAACTTTGTATAAAGATGATTCTCAACTATGGTGGCATGTATAGTCTCAGAGAAATACACCAAAATAGAATGTCCTCATATGAGGTCACAGGGTCTCAGGAGGTTAAAAGCGTTGTCGTTTAAACATATGAATCCCAACGATTCATTTTTGACATTCTATCCACAGCGCTGTAAAAAGTAACAGCCACCACGTGACAAATGCTGGCTCGATGTTTTAGGGGCGGGTTGGGTAATATTTTAAATGTGTATAAAGTCAATAAATATATGTTATAGCAGTTGGATTCATATCAAACAGTGAAGAGTTAAAATATTATTCTTTTTATAGAGACCTATTGTGCCTGACCAATCACAGACAAGGTCCGGGCTGCTAAGCCCCTCCCATTATGGCTTGTGGTCCTGCAGATCTGTCAGTAACCGGATACGGCGTTGGGGTCGGTTTGTAAACCGTTGCAAGTAGTTTTTTGGGTTAATTTTCTCTTCATATGTCTAGCAATAACTTTGTCAGTTGTTATAAGTTTATTTGTCTTGGTTAGATTGGGCGTTTTGTTATTATAAGCACAGAAATGGAGGGGATGGTTTAATAACCCACAGCACGGTTCATTCTCAGTAGCTCCAGCTTCTCCCGGTCTTACCGGGTGGGTTCAACTTGTGCAGTTTTTCGCTGGACATGGCAGGCGGGTTGAAAGCGGGATTCGTGCGGCTCATGCACCATTTGCAGGACCCTCAGCACGTCGCGCGCTTCCAACGGCTGTGCGGGGTACGCGGAACCGAACCGCGTGACAGACTCCGTTACGGGGCACCAAGTGCTCGCCACGGGGATGTTCAGAACGGAGGCGGGGATGCCGCCCGCCGTAGAACAGCAGGAGCAGAAAGCGACAGGGAGAAAGGCAGTAACGTCTTTGCGAACGGCGCTGCAGGAGATAACGTCAACGGGCAGGCACGGGATAAAGACGCGGTCGAGGCTCAAGGATCCGCGGTAAAGCCGTTTCGCAGAAACTCTCTCACTGGAGACGTCGGGCAGGAGTTCATCATCGATAATAAGTTTATTTTCTACCTGTTCACGCTTGGTACCGAGCTAGGGAACGAGCTGTTCTACATCTCATTCTTCCCGTTCTTCATGTGGAACGTGGACGCGTATGTGAGCCGCCGGCTAGTCGTGGTCTGGGTGTTGGTCATGTATCTCGGCCAGTGCACGAAAGATGTGATCCGGTGGCCGAGACCTGCCTCGCCTCCGGTGGTCAAGGTGGAGATGTTCTACAACTCGGAGTACAGCATGCCCTCCACGCATGCCATGTCCGGTACCGCCATACCCGTGAGCCTGTTCCTGCTGACCTACCGTCGATGGGAGGTAAGAACATCACGCCACCGTTCAATGCTTGAATGATATTTAGTAGATGAGTGTTGCGTGACTTGTACAGCAAACAGCAAACTTGTCCCCAGAAATATTTGGACACTGAAGTCACGCTTAATGTACAAGTTTTATTGCATTGCATAAAAAAGTTTTTAAGCCTTAAAGGTCCCATATTGTCAAAACTGAAATTTCCTGGCTTTTTTCACTTATAACTGAGGTCTAGGGGCTATTTAACTACCGTATAAGTTTCAAAACAGTCAGTCCACAGTAAAATGCATATAGCCTGCATAAAGTAGCTGTGATTTTTCACCAACGTTGTGACTTCAGTAAAAAGTTGACGTCAGAACTACACAGTCACCGCCTTCAGTCACCACCCAAGCACCACCCACCATCCCACTCTTCTTTTGCCAAACCCCCAGACAACATCGTGTCCAAGACATTGCTGAGCAACAACAACACGGAAACATGTCGAAAAGGTTAACTAACCACGAAACCAGATCGGCCGACCTGTAACGTTACACTCTCACTCAAAGGATGGACGATCTGACAGGATTGTTACTATGAGGTGGATCACATCTAATGTGTATAGTAAAGACAAACTCACCGTGTCTATCTAGTCATGATGAAGATGTATATACATTTCAATTTCAGCAGGCAACTATTTTTACAGCTACATTATTGTTCCAGCCACAATTAATCACAACAATGTATATACAATTACAAATGATATATAAATCGTAAGTTTGTTGTTTTACACACATGCACACAGACATTATTTCATACACGACATAGTCGTGAGATGCAAGAAACATATACATATGGCAAGAAATCTGTAGACGCGCCCATAACAACAAA